CACGTTTGTAGAACGGGTTAGACTTGATTAATTGGTCTAAAATTTGTAGGGAATTACTTTTTCAATAATGGTAACCATTTCAGGGAGTAGCACCCCCGAATTTCCTTTTTCGAAAATAAGGGCCACTCTAATGTACATTAAAGTGGTCCAAAAATGTATGTAAAAAAATAAGGTCGGATTTTTAATGCCGGCACCCCCTAGGATTGTTCTATATCGAAAAAAATATACCCCTATTTGAAAAAAAAAAAAATAAATAAAAATAGGGAGTACTCAAAGCGCCGGCATTAAAATTCCAACTTAATTTTTTTGGACCACTCTAATGTACATACATACATATGTAGGTATGTAGCATAGATTTGGTTACCTGAATTCAAGGCGAATTCATATAAGGTGATGTTGCTAGAACAGCTGATTTTCACAATTTTCCTTCCCTCTTCTTCCCGGAGCAAAGAATAACTGAAATTTTACATTTGTGTACCGAAAGCAAAAACAAAATACATGTAAGTCATGTAATTTTGGCAATTTTCGGCATACCAGCGTTACAGTTATGCCTACTCTATTCATTCCAATTTCATTTTTGGGCAAAATGGAACAAAAAATGGAGCAGACAATTTTGTGAAAAAGTATGCGTAGGCATCACTGACTACGTTTATTCGCACGTATTATTTGCAAATAACAATTTGCAAAATGGTAAACTTTGCGGTATAAACGCTGAGTTAATTTTTTATTTGCAAATTTAACTAAATCACGCAAATAAGTATTGATTAGTGGTACTATTTGCAAATAAACGCAAGACGCCGCCATTCTTAGGTTTATTTTCTTTTTCGATGGCCATCTTTTGCCTTTTAATAATCAAAACGTTGCCATTTTTAATTTTATTTTAATTTTCGACGGTCATATTATTGCCTTTTTATTATCAGGCAATATTAAAAAAGGATTTTTCACCATCAAATAAACAGTGAGTTAGGTATTTGCAAATCATTTTTATTTGCAAATAGCGTACGTATAAACGTAGTAACTTTTTCTTTGTTTCGCTTTTGCTTTGACTTTTCGTTTCAAATTCATTGGAAAATTTGAGCAATAATTTCCAATAATTGTGATTTTGTAAGTAAATTTTTGGTAAAATATATACTGTATATATCCAACTGATTATTGGAGCAGTGCCTCGGATGGCTACGATAATGCACTTGGTCTACCAATTTAAACGCATAATTATTTTATAATATAACTGATAAAATTCAGAAATGTAATTTTAAAATGTTAACGAACATAAATGTCGTAATAAAATTTCCTTTAAAGTTAAGTTATTTAAAAACTAAGTACGCATATATGTACATGTACTTCAGAACTTAAGGAAAAAATACAATAATAAAATAATAAAATTCCATAAATGAAAGACGGAAAATAGTCCTTATTTTTTAAGTTTTAACCAACATCATGATGAGTAGTCCACTTGCAAAGTGCGCTATGTAAAATTTTTTCGATTTCTAGTTTTTGGTGGGTAACGTACCAGTAATTAAAGTAGTTTAATGTCCACTTACAACCCAGTGCAAAATATTTGTATATTCTGAAAAAATGCATCAAATATTAACTACTCTTGCAAAAGTCGCCATCATACTTATTTATATGTAAACTTTCAAAAGTCTCCATCTTCTGATAAACTTAGAAAACTGCTTTAGGTCGTGTAGATTGGTAATGTTATTTTATGTTATGTTATGCTTTGTTATAATGTTCTTAGGCAGTTATTTATCAAAATTTTCAGGTAATGAAGAAACAGATTCAATTTAGTTGTTACTTGTTGTCGTAGTCGTTTTTCAAATTTATGGCTTATTATCAAAAAATCACATAACGCTGTTTGGAAGTGGACTACTCATATGTGTGTGGTACGACCGTGTGGCCTTTAAGTTTTACAAATAATAATTTCAAGGAAGAAAAATATAACTGAATAATAATTATTAAAATCAATATATTTGATCGAAAAAATAAAAATTAAGTAACAATGATTTCTTTTGAGCGAAAAAATGAAACTGTAATTACACTGGTTTACAGAAAAAATATTTTATTGATGCAAGGCTTCATTTAACCAGTGCGGGGTCCACGCTGATGTATGTTTGTATTGGAAATAGTACCCAAAAAGTACTAAAAATAATCCCAATCTTTTCCACCTTTTTCTACTACCCCAAAATGCTTGGCCGCAATTGGCATGCAGAAAAGTGAGGTTATGTAAGTGACATCACCTTATATTTATATCACCATGATGTAACTGCCATACCTAAACAAAAGCGTCAGCGTTGTCTGGCTGTCAAAAAATTCTCACGCCCATACAATTTGTATGAAGCATACCGACGTAGCGTTGACGCTTTTGTTTAAGTATGGCACTTCGGCGCTAACGCTAGGCGTCAGAAACCGTTTCGCCCAACGCTTTTGTTTAGGTATGGCAGTTAGTTTTTGTTTTTGTACTACCGCTACCACCTTATATAAATTCGTCTTGCTTCAATTTCAATGAATCGATTCGATTCGATTCACAAAATTCAAATAGTTTTAGTATTCGAATAATAGATACCATATACCATTATTCGAAGCGTGCAGCTATTCGATTATCATAAACTGGTCGAATGAATATTGACCAAATACCCGATAATTCGAATAATTTTTGGGAGCCCTAGTTCATACATACATACATACTTGTAAACAATTTTATGTGCCAGTTCCTACTTACTACTTCAAGTCTTCCGGTGTGTACCAATGAAATTGCTCCTGATGTTCAGATTTATTTTGCATTAAGCCTTTAAAGTGCAATGATGTGGATCTTCGTAAAAGAATCGGCCTTAAATTGTTATATAAACCTCGAAATTGTCGCTTGTACTCAGTTTTAAGGGAGCTAAATGGAAGCGCTGGTTCATCACTTGGTTGCAGGCAAATATTGCTTCGTGAATGTTGGTCTAAAAGTGTTGAATTATGTATAATTGAAACATATCAGATGTATGTAGTGCAGTTCCTCATATGTATGTATGTATGTATGTACATACAGTAGTTTCTAGCATTTAGCATATTTACTTACCCGGTGGGTGTTTCCTCCGCCTGAAAAATTTTAAATCATCCACGGAAATAAACTCATGCGGATGTTTAATGTTAAACCGATTCGAACGCTTAAATGGATCTGTAAAGAATAAAAAGTGCTCAAAAATTATGTAAGCCGTGTGTGTATCAATCAATAAGATTCCAAGGAATTTCCATACATCCTACCTGTTAAATCTGGTTCGGAAAATGAGCGATTCCAATCGTAGTTATTACTGCAAGTAAACAAATTTTGGTTGTTTAGTAACTACCTTAAAGCATTAGCGCTAAACAGTTTTTATATTTTTTTTTTGTATATTTTATGGTTTTACTCAAGCAAAATAACCAGGGCTGGCAATTCTATGCAAAAGCTTGAAAAGTTTTGGGTTCGTGCATATATTGGACGTATGCAGGTGCAGACCCGTCTAGAACAGGGGCAGGGGGAGGGGGCGGGGGTCCTGGGGGTGTTCCCCCCGGGCCACGAATTTTTCTGCAAATAAAGTTGAAAAATAAACATTGACATAGACATTGTTATTCGAAATTCTAATAAATGTGAAAGTCATTTCCATGCTTGGGAAACACCATGGAAGAATATGCATAGCACCATCAACAAAAGAAAAAAATAAAAAATTATCAGAAATCGAACGGAACTTTTTAGCGACTTTGAACTTGTATTCTATTATAATAATATTAATCTGCATGCCAAAATGTTTTCTTGAAGTTCTAATTAAAAAGTTTGTACATTTGATGAAACTTTGTTGAGTTTTCTAATTTTTTAACAAATTTTGCAATTACACATCTAAATATGTATGTATGTATGTATATACACGTGGTGTGGTTGACAAGCAAGGGGAGTCTTTGCCAGACTGCGGTGGAGGTCGGACGCTAAACGTGGACGTTGTTAATATTCTTTGCCAAATACATAATTTCTTTCGCTTGTAAACATTAAATACATATCTTATTTAAAATATATATGTAACTTCTTCCTTACATTAAATAAAATACCACATACATATATCTAAATTATATGGCTTTTGTTAGAGGCTAAACTAATGAAAAAAATTTTAGAATAGAAAAATATTGCGAATATGTATTGTAATAACATCACAGTGTGATTTTGAGTGTGGGTCACTCACTGTACATACATTGGGGAGCAGTGATGAGTATAAGGTTTTTTTGGCGTTAAAATTTTTTATATAAATCAAGCCGCTTAGAACTTGAACTTTATTATACCTAAATTATTAAATTTACAAAACTGCGTACTCAAAAAAATTCCGAAACATCAAAATTTTCATGAAATTTTTCTAAGTTCTGTATAAAGTTTGGAAGTTTCATTTATATGGTTTTGGTTAACGCATCAACCATATTTTTGCGAAATAATAACAAAAAAGGAACTTTAAAAACCTAGCAAATATTTTATAAAAACCACCATCACGCTATGAAAGAAATATTTATAGTTTGTCTCAAATTGGTAAACGAATCCAACAGCTCGGAGAAGCGGGTATCTTCGTTGTCCCACCCGTCACACTTGAAAAATGCCAATTTACTATGTAATTTATAAGATTAAGTTTTATACTTTATCAGTTTCGTATTAAACGGATATCTGACTTCAAGTGTTAACTGTTTGAAACTTATCAAATTAATGGTTAAAGAGAAATTACTAAAAGTTTGAGCAAAAGCGAGTTAAAATGTCCCATTCGTCACTTTGGAATGCCCCACACATAAATTAATGTTTGTTTGTTTGACATTTAACGCTTATTACAATGATCGAATATTCGATTTTATTAAGGTATTCGATTTATCGTAGCTTGGCGACTATTCGAGTAATCGAAGAGAATCAACTATTCGAATAGTAACATTCGATTAGCAATCGTACAAACAAGTGCCGATCGAACGTTCGAATATTCGAATTGTTCGAATAACTTCAAGAGTCCCAATATGTATGTATGTATAGAAAACAATTTTCTGCTGGTAAATGGTTCTAAGCATTTGTTGAATGAGCAGATATTTTTCAGTGTTTCATTTATGCATGCATGCTTATACGTTAGGAATGTTAATCCCGGGATCCCGGCCTTTTGTAGATTTTCGGGATTTGTAATTTGCCCTGATGGCTATAATAAAAACTCCTTTTCTTTACCATTATTGGCTATATTCCTTTTTTTTATTTAATAAATAATATTTATATATTTTATTATACAAATAACACCGGGCGATAGTAAATTTTACACACAAAAATCAATATATTTGCGGAAACCATGGACCAAATATAGTAAAATTGCGTTTTTAGTTTTTCACTCTGATGGCAGTAATTCAAAAATGATTTAAAAAATTCAGTGAAATGTGCTTAGAGAAGAAGTATTGGTTTCAAATTAAAGAGCAAATTCTGTAGAATTTAATCAGATTCAACTTTCCATGTGATAAAAATGTTTGTCCTTAACATTGCAATCGCACGCATATTTCTGTTTAGATTTCCGAAACGTTGTGGGAAAACTGAAAGTTTTTTATTTATCCTGATAAGACAAAAACAAAAGCTAAATTTTTTAATTTTTTTTTTTTTTAAATGTAGTTTTAAGCGGTATTTACATTAAATTTTTTATTTATTTTTTTTTACAATACAAAAAATGGAAATATTTTTAACGTCCTATTAAAGATTCTTTAACGTTACGTATTGGAGAATATGGTAAATACAAAGCAACAAAATTGGGGAAATTGTTTAAACCATGAAAACTCAATTAATTATTCAACAATACATATGCACATGTAAATAAATAAATAAAAAAATAAATAAATAAATAAATATCCAATATGAATATCGAACTAAGGAGTATATTGGAATTACACTCAAAATGGGTTCCAAAAAAAATTAGAACCATAGTAACAAGAGAGAAAGTGAAAACCAGCTCATTCTCGAAGGGAAATATAAGACAATCACTCTCTCTCATTAAAATTTTAATTCGATAATGCTGCTGAATGTTGAATTCATAATAGCCCAGTAATGCATACTTAGCTTAGCATGATAGTTGTCACATAAGAATCTGTTAAACGGGCTTTGCGTGTAAGCGGTTACCCAACGCATGTACAATTCTGTTGGGTATTGATTTTTACGTAAAAATGGTATAGCAGTGCAAGTATGCATAACTGGGCTATAGCGAAAGGAAACACATTGGGTAACGAAGGTTCCGTTTTTCTGGAGAATGGCCTAGTTCTCGAATCGAATACTATCCTATTTCCACATTCTTATCGAAGGTGCGACTTTAAAACTGAAGCTTGGACCTTGAAATATTTTTTATTGCAACTAATTATCCGCCCATTTCTGTGTTTTCTTGATAAATTATTTGTAAAGAATTTTTATCAAGATTTTTATCAAGCAAAAGCTCCAATCGCATTCTGTGTCAATATTTACAAAATAAAAAGCTCTACGATTTTCACACGAGGGGAACTGTAGTTGCTATTCTCTAAATTTTCTACCGACCGACAATCATTGTCGCAGTTTGCGACAATAATCGCTTGCGTTTGCGACTAGTGTATTCTGTAACTATATATCGTAGCGATGAAATTCGTTTACATCTTTTTCCGACGATTGTCGATATGAAATTAGAATTGTAGCCAATGCAATCAAAAATATTGAGAATGAATTGAAATGTGTATTTTTTACACTTTTTCTCAACAGCTGCTGTAGCCTAATGGACGTGTGTTCGATCGCCAACTTGTTGGTCATAGGTTTAAGCCCTGTGACACGGACATTTATTTCTTCTTTTTATTTTTTACTTACCATTTTTTATTTACTATTTTTTTATTTAACAATGCTAATTTAAAATTTGATCAAGATAAAATTAGGAAAACGAAAGTATTGATGAATAATTGACTTCCAAAGTAGATTTTTTTTTCTTTTTATGACGATGAGAGATATTTCCAGGTAAAATGAAAATTGCGCGCCAAAACTTAACCATCGAAAAATGTCACAATGGCGTAAGTTGCAAGTTTTTACTGGTTTTACTGGGGGCCTATTTCTGATAATTTTTTTTACTTTCTTGAACATGCCGAGTAGTGTTATCTACGTATTCTGTGTAGCCTCGATTTGGATGCCATTGTCTATAGCTTGCGCTTTATACGCAAAGCCCTGGCCTATCGTTTTGGCAATTGGTTGAGTTCTTATTGCGGATGTTCATTTACGCTCTGGGCGTGACCACCATTTATCTTTATTTGTTGTTTTGGCGAAATCGATTTCTCGGTATACTGTTCTTTTGGTCGTTTGGCCTTTAGTTGAGTTTTAATTATTCATAAGGAAGATGTGGCTTTAAAGGGGTTTACGCAGTCGCTGTTTGGATAACAGAATTTTTTCATTTGAATGCAGTAATTCTGGTTCTCCTCTGCTCTTCACAGTACTTTAAATACCGTTAAAATCATTGGAAGCACTTTAGGGGGTAGGGAGTGAATGCGCTATTATAGTGACCACTCGCTAGAGGTATACGCTTTTGTCATTCGATACGAAAATATCGGCGCGGCGGCGGCGGCGTTCGGCGACTAAGGAATTTTGTACAAAATTTTCTTGTTATATGTACATTGAATACATCGTTTGAAGGAACTAAATACTACTTGCATAAAAACACAATTTTACGAAATGAAAATTACATTTTTAAATAAGTTTTTTTGCATAATTTGGGCCATTAGACAAGAATATGATCTCCTTTATTTTACCAAAAATAGCGTAACTCAGAAAAAAACATAGGTAAAATATTTTTCCACGAAAGTGTTTATTACAGTTAAATTAGGGTCGAATACTGGTAATCTAACGATTTTTTTCCGCAGTAGACCATTCTTCTCAATACTACAACAATACTACTTTTTTATACACCTACTACAACAACAAGACATTTTGCTCAAAATGAATTGTCATAACTATTGTCAGGACGCCAGCGTCGCGGAGAAAATTATCAGCATTTTTGACAACAAATACGCATTTCTTTATTGTCTTGACAGCATTGTCTAATGTAAACGCGCCGTAAAGCGTGTTGCTTAGTGTTTTAAACTATTGTTTATTTTCTAACAGTATTTAGTTCTGTCAGCTATTAACACGTATTTTTGGGTTTTTTAAACCAATATTTATTCTGTAAATAATTTTACACCATAATTTATTAGTCCTTTAAAGGAACTTCATACGACATAACACGACGACATACGAGTGCGTATGCACATATACATATACATATATGTACATACATAAGAGTGGTCCAAAAATTCATGTGATAATAGTGAAGTCCCTAGGATTGTTCTATATCGAAAAAATATATTTACCTCTTTTCTTATTTCGAGATCAAACAATTCTAGAGGTCGCTCTAAATTTTCCATGTATTTTGTATGGTGCTTCGTAGAAATGGTGTAGAAATTTTGAAAATCAATATGTATGTTTATTAGGGTGGTCCTTAAATGTAGGAAGCAAATCTTCACATCTGATTTCCTAAACCTCGACCCCTACGTCGATGCTACTATAGTCGAAGATATCACATATCACGATTGGGGAAGGTAAAGGCGTGTCGCAAAGGAGGCAAAGTTCAGATTCCTCTATGGAAACTCAAAATATTAAAAAACAATTTTTTCATCTAATACCCAAAATCGACACGCCCTAACCGACTCTAATCGGGACCAAAATTTATATGTCATATTTTTGACAATAGTAGTATCGATTTTGGGTATTAAATGGAAAAATAATCTGTATCTGTAACTTGCCCCCCTGTGCGACACGCCTTAACCGTTCTCAATGTGATATCTGTGACCGTGGCATTACCGATTTAGGGAGTGGGACTGAAAAAAATCGTTAATTTGGTTTAAAGAATCACCCTAATGTATATATATAACTTATTACATTTTGATATTATTTATCAAACAGTTCCACTTATTTTTACTTTTTTTATTAAAATAAAGCATTATAACCAATGTAACATATACTACATCGACACCTAAGTGGAAGATCGACCTATCTCGGCAGCCAGTTCGGAAACGTGCTATTTCAGAATTTGGTTGAAGAATGCCCTATCTCAGAATTTGATTGAGGACGCCCTATCTCAGAATTCGGTTCAAATACGCCCTTTGTCAGCACATTTTCAATACATTGTGAAGTGAGTTAGGGCGTTTTTAAACTGAATTCTGAGGTAGTGGTGCCTTCTTCAACCAAATTCTGAGATAGGGTGTTTTGCAATAAAATTCTTAAATAGGGCGTTCTTGAAAAGCTTTCTGAGATAGGGCGTTTTCAAAGTGGCTGCCGAGATAGGTCCATCTTCCACTCAGGTGTCGATATATGAATCGGTTAATTATCAACGTGAATAAGTCAGCATTTTTCCGATATGGAAAATTTGATGCAGTTTAACAGAGTTTCATATCGAAAATTTCTGACTTATTCCCCTTTGTAATTAACCGATTCATTATATATATCGCACACGTTCTTTAAAAGTGTATCATTTCAAAATTTGTAATTTTTTATATGCGCTAAAGTGTTCACAGACCTTATATCTACATATTTACCATTCAGAAAAAGTTGGGGCAAAATTTTAGTGTAATTTGTAGAAAGAATGTAAAGTAAAAATAGTTTTTTAGCATTTCCTGGCGAGCCGGTCATTTTGAGTTAATACACATCTGAAGTATTTGTGCGATATGAACAAAAGTTACTCATCAAAACTGCAAAGCTTTTTCCTTGTTGATTTCTACGATTCCAGCATTTCTTCTTCTTGTTCAGGAGCGAACGTTTCAATAATTTCTAATTCTCCCAAGAACACGAAAACTAAAAATATTGCATATAATATGAAGTTGAAGACACCAATACTCCGTCGAGCGGAAAAATTCGTTAAAGTGGACCATGCCAAAACTGATAATGCAGCTATAAACTGGAAAATTACACAATTTTCGCCTAAGCTGCCTTGCGGAACCTTAAATAAAAACGTTTTTTTTTTACCATTTTTAACTTCAATCACAAGTCTACATACGGATATAGGTGTTTCGCTACGAAAGGTTTCGTATATAAAAACCCCTCCAAATGATGAAATCGAATCTGAAACGCAAGGAATTTGTATCATTTTTTAGGTGTGTATGTATGTGTTTTTTTGATTACTAAAAAATGGACCGCCGAAACAAGCAGCATAACCCATTCGCGGATATCCATGGCGTGCCAAAGCAATGGTTGATACCAAGTCGCCAATACTATTACCCCAGGCTTGTAAGGTGCATCCAAGGAATGAGTTGCTTCTGTTGGTCACAATGCCAATGACGCGCAATATTTCGACGGATTCACTGGACGAGTAGTAAATTATTAAAATGGAACAAGCAACACCATACAAAGCTATGACCTAAAATAATGAGCAATTCTTTAGAGAGTAGATATTTAGCAATAAATAAATTGAAATAACTGACTTGATGATAATTGGGTGGAATATCGGTTCGTGTTGTATATAGCATATAGCACGATATGGGTATGGTAATCGGTAAAGTGTGACAGCAAAGTGGCAAGCCTAGTAAAAATACATTTGTTGCTGCAAGAAGAAGAAGAAGGTCCATTATTGAAATTGAAATGAATTTACGTACTAAGTATGTACGTATGACTTACACAGCGCATACACTACAATCAATGGTACAAAAGGGATTTGGATCGAGTTCAATAATTTCGACCAGCCATGACGTTCTCGTTCATAGTCCACAACGGGAATAAAAAGCTGTAGGACAAATAATACTGGTGCTGTGACAATAAGATAACTCTTTCCCGCAAAACCACTTTCCAGCCACTCCACCCTTTGTATGGGATTTAAAGATTCAATGAATTGCTTCATTAGATCCTTATTGGGTTCATTTAATAAAGCATCAAAAGACATTGTTCGTGTTATATTCACATCTATGGACATTCGTGAGGTACGATCGAGTATTTCTATGCCAGCCTCCGCTTGTAGTTGTTCTAATTTCACGAGATTCGCAGCTAACAAGGCAGAAGAATCGTTTTTAATATCTCTTGAAGCTTAAATGGATACATGCATGTTCATGCATAGATGTGTACCTTCATAAATGCAAACACTTATGGCCATAATAATAGGAGTGCGACATTTTGACGAGTTTTACTTACTTTTTTTTAGCAGTTTATTGTTCATAAATTTTTTATAAAGTATACATCTACAATATATCTATTTTAGCAACTTCAAACTTGCAACTTTATTATAAATACTAAAATTTAATGGACTATAAAAATGCCTACCAAAGTGTTTTCTAGAGACTCTAATTTAAAGTTTGAAAAATTGATGAAACTCTGTGGAACTTTTTTAACTTTTGTACAAAGTTAGAATTTTTAGATTTTATAAATAAAGAAAATCAAATAATGAACATTAAGCCAACCAAAGAAAAATAGTCAAAACTTGTTAAAATGTCACACTCCTATTATTTGGACCATAAGTACATAAATGGGTGCGTACTAGGGTGTTTCTAAACCGGTTTCCAATGTTTGTTTTTTTGTTAATATCTATAGGGGGTTTTTAACTTCAAATATATAAATGTACAATGGACATTGTACATACATATGTATATATTCCATACTGTAAGAGCAATCTTTTTGAATACTCCTATACCGAAAAAGTAGAAAACCAAATCAAATGAGCTTATATGTATGCGTCATTAAACCCATAGTAGACCCGTAGTTATAGTCAAAGTAAAGTCGACACTAAAGTTAATTACAGATTTTTTGACAGATATCCCATTCAAAAGTATGTCAAAAAGCTGCCATTAACTTTATAGAGTCGACTTTATTTTGACTATAACTACGGGCTATTTTCCTTTTAAATAATTAAAACCAAAATGGTATTTTAGCAATTGTTGCATAAATAACATAACACCGACAAATTAAACATTGAGATTCAGTTTCAAATATACAAGTTTAAACATTATTGCGCTTGGTAATTTTCCAAATCAAACCCCCTACACCGCCCTACACTTTGATTTACATTTTTTAGTTGTTATAGTTTCGTCTTTATCGGGCATTTCTAAAAACATTTTTGACGTTGTTTTGAAATTTGGCGACATAAAATAATGTAATTAATATTTTATAGAATATGGAAATAATACACTGTGGGCCGTTTGCAGTTCTCAAGAAAAACCACAAGAAATATTTTTCATTATTTCTGTTTCTAGAAAAAGGACTTTGCTACTGCTGTAAATTTTCTTGAAGAAATAAATAAACAAGCATTTTTTTCTTCAGAGCTGCATACTGATTTAAGAAATTTTGATAGAAGAAAATTTCTTTTTCTTTTCTTGTGCGTAATTTTATAAAAAAAAA